TAAGAGGGAGCATTGCTCTCAGCCTAACCTACCTCCCAGGGCTGTTGTGAGGATATATAAAACAGAACGGAGCGCAATGTAAGCAGCTTTGGGTCCCCACTGTAGGAGAAAAGAGAAATATAAACGAAATAAGACAATAAATAGAGGAGTGGCTCTACAACTTTTGTCCTTTGGGGACATAGTCGCCTGTACATTAGTAAACAATATAGGCACGGTACAGCCACATATCCCCTGCAGCTTTAACAGAAATGAAAAAGCACAGCTGGGGTACAAAAGAACCATCAAATGTACTTGTGTTTGGGGGTACCACTTTTTAACCCATGCAATAAATTATATTTAGGGTACCTTAAAAATCGTCATGAGTTTTTCAGAAAACTTTGCTACAGTGAAGCATTTTCAAGTGCTCTGGAGAGAGCTCCTTTGCAAAATGTGGATATCTACCTCATCAGAAAAAGAGAGAGAGAGAGAGCTTTGCAATTATTGATGCATTTCTTCTACCTCATCAGGACAGGCTGTGGGTGGCTGGCTACTGAGTCTGGGTATTGCGAAACATAATGTCTTCTACCATCACCACATTCTTTTTTTATTATTTTTGGGACATTTTCTACCCCAAGATAAATTCGGTAGGAACATAGCCCAAGGTACAATATGTGAAAGCTTATTCAGAAAGCGGTAGCAGGGTTAAATAACCACATTAGATCACACACTCACCAGCACACCCAGAGCTCTCTGCAAACATTTCTGGCAACATGCCTGTGCATAATCATGTAAGTTAGCCTGACATCATGAGACGAAGGAGGTCCTTCTACCATGCCCTCACCAGAGCACCCTTCTCACAAATGCATGAAAGAATCTTAGCATTTGATGTGTATCGGCGTTTGTTGAGTAACCACCACCATTCCTCTGGTTGTCTCCAGACTGCGCTGAATATGCTCACCCGGTGCCAGGCACTAGAATACAAGGACGACGGGATCCTGTTTGCCGCAATCCATCCAGGCTGGGTGAAAACTGATATGGGCACAGAAAAGGTACCATCCACGAAAGCTTGACCAGTAGATTATCAGCTCCCCTGTTCGGCTGAGCCTATGGGCCCTTTTGGAATGTTGTGATCAGGCAGCAGGAACCAACACAAAATGGCTGCCATGGGGAAGCTGGGACCTATCCCAAAAGGTCAGGAGGTTCCAAGCCAAGCTTTCTCCTAAGATGGGGGCAGCGGTTTCCAAACTGGGTTCTCCCTAGACACGAGGGTGATGCCTCCCGAGCTCTTCCAAAGCATTTCCTGCTCCAAGACAGGGCAAAGTCAGCATTTGGCTCTTTGCTTTGAGAAAGATTTGCTTTACCAAAGCGACTAGGGTTGCCAGCTATGGGTTGGGAAATACCTGGAGATTTTAGGGGTGGAGCCTAAGGAGGGCAGGGTTTGGGGAGGGACTTCTGTTGGGTATGACGCCACAGAGTCCACCTTCCAAAGCAGCCATTTTCTCCATGTGAACTGATCTCTCACCTGGAGACAAGTTGTAATCCCGGATCCCCAGCCATCACCTGGAGGTTGGCAACCCTAAAAACAAACGGACACCATGGCACTTATGGGTGCCACACTGGGGAGGACTGCACTGGACTAACATGTGGCAAGGGGGAGGGAAAAGAAAACAGGAACTGCTGACCAAGCTAGAGACCTGATGGCATATTCTGAACCAACTCAGGAAAGGGTCTTCTTCACTTCCCCATGACCAATGCTCCCTCTAAGCTGTGGAGTCTTGTGAGCAAAAATCCTACTTTGTGAGCTGCTGGCATTGAAGCTGTGAGTAAGCCATTTGGCTCCTGCATCAATTAGTTTGCTCTGGAGCCATCCTTCATGAGCGAAGACAAAATGTGTGAGCTGGAGGCTAAAAGACTGTGAGCTAGCTCGCACTAACTCAGCTTAGAGGGAACACTGCCCATGACCCTGCTGAAGTAGACAGGAAGAGGACGTCTTCACTAGCATTGTCCTCATTCTTGAGTCTGCAGCTTTTCTTGTGTACTCATCAGGGGCCTCCTTAACCCTCTTAAATGTCTGGCTCCGTGGTTCCACGGAACATAATTGTTTCCCAACCTCACCCAGCTCCCAAGTCCCCTAGTAACAATGCTCCCTCTAAGATGTGGGGTCGTGAGCAAAAATTCTACTTTGTGAGCTACTGGTGTTAAAGTTGTGAGCGAGCAATTTGGCTACTGCATGAATTAGTTTGCCCTGGGGCCGTCCTTCCTCAGCTAACTGTGAGCTAGCTCACACCAACTCAGCTTAGAGGAAACACTGCCTAGTAGTAACTCAAACTGTTTTTTTGCACTGTTTAACCAAATGCAGGCAGAGCTGATGGTGGAAGAAAGCGTTCATGGGATCCTTAATGTGCTCTCCAATCTCTCTGAAGAACATAGCGGGCGATTTCTGAATTGGGAGGGCAAGTTCGTTGCCTGGTAAAAGGAAATCGGGCAGAAGTTCAATAGAGGAACCCACCGGCAGGTGTGATGAAAGAGAAACAGCTGGACCTCCCTTTTGCCTGCTTGACCTTGTAAGAATCTAGGCTAAATCCCCATTAGTGCCCAGTAGTCCCACCACCCCCAGCTACAAAGCCACTCTGGGCACATCTAGCAGGTGTCTTCCTGGTTCTGGCAGGGACCTTTGATGTCTCAATAAGGCCTTCCCACACTGTAGGCAACCAGTTATATAGGCTTCACAGCCTGCATTGGGCTTCCACCAGGCAGCTGTATCCCTTGGCCAGCGGGAGGAACAGCATGGCCTAAAATTCTCTGCCCTGTAAGGCTGTAGGGCTTCCAGTCCTTGTAATAAGTCTCCTCCAGTTTCTTCATGGGCTGACAATAGGTAGGTTCCCTTCCAATAGGAATTCCACACAGAATATTTGAAGAACCTTAGACAGTACGTTCCTGTAGAAATCAGACTGCGAAGGGGATTTCACAGTCGTAGATGAACCATGGAAAAGGATGAAGTCCAGCTTCTTTTGAATCAAACTATTTGAGACCCACACAGGCTTCCCCGGGTACCATAAAGACACACTGCTCACAGGGGGTCAGTGGGGATTTTATTAGTAAAATATATCAAACGTGAAATCAGAAATGTCAGTAGAAAAATAAAAACCTGATATTAGCAGTACTGTTCTTCCTGTTGTACAAAGATTTGTTCACACGTCACAGCAATCAGTGGAGTACAAAGTTTCAGATACAGCCTCAGTGCAGCTCGGGAAAATCTCCATCACAGATGAGGGGGAGGACCGACATTGGCAGATCTTGGGATGGCATAGCTTAAAAGATACGTGAGGCAAAGATCACAAACATAACACACGGTATCCTCTTGAGTTTCCTCTTTGGGACATTTAGTGGTTCATCACAATTCGAAGTCCCTTGCAAGTGCCAAAATTCTGTACATGTTTTGGTAAGAGGGCAGCCTGTCCCACTATCAGTGGAGAAACAAAGAAGCTTCCTGGCCATTATAGGCTTACAGATTCTATTATTCTGCTGCACAAGTTACTGGTTATGGCACTTGCTGATGGGGAATGTCCCTTGTGTCCACTAAGGTTGCGATCCAAACATTTAGGAGCAAAGCAAAATAGATTGGATCTTGGGGTGGAGAAAAGAAGGGGGAGGGAAATGTTTTCAACTACCGGATCAACAAGGAGTTACGAAACAAACCAACAGAATCAAACTGCAGTAGCTGAACAAGAAAAGAGTAAAAAGCAGGAAAGAAAAATAAGATCAAAATCAAATAGTGACCTTTTTCAGATCCGGAGAAAGGAGTAGCCAGAAACGATAGCTATAAAGTGCTCAGCCCATCCTAAGGCACACAAAAAAACCCCACAACTAAAATGATCAGAGAATCTCACTGAATAATCCTGATTGTTACAGAGACATGAGAGGAAGAAGCAGCCCTTCCTAACTAGCTATTCTGCTGCCAGCAACCACTTAGTTTCAGACTATGCAATTTACAAAGTTTAGAACTTCCGGGGGGGGGTGGGGTGGAGAGCAGTCTGCCCCCTAGAGCCTCAAAAGCAGCTGGAGAAGCAGGCAGTGAATATTATAACTGAGAGAGATATAAGGGAAGGAGAAACTTGATTTTAAACAAGAAAGTCTGCCAGAGCCAATTCAAGAAAGGCTTGGAGAGGGGGGCTCTGAAGCATCCTACTGCAAAGTCATCCTGCAAAGGTGATGTACAGATTTGACACATTTCTATCCAAGGAACTCCACACATGTCTTCCAAGACCGTAAGAGGCCTGTACCACATACCTCCCCCATCCCCAAATGGCCTGTCAGCTGTTAACAGCCTCCTCCAGAACGAGCTGGCATCAGATCTTTAAAAGACATTCAGGACACTGGAAGGATTCATTGCCCCTGGCAGGTGGGTAAAACCCTAAATCCCTCCCTGAACCAAACCTCTGGAGGAATAATTTCTGAATTCCCAAGTGGCAACCAAATTATCCTCACTTAAGGAATGGTCAGGTTTCTAAGACTAGTCACTGGAAAGGGAAAAGGGCAAATTGCCCAGGCACTTCTAGGACCCAAAATTCACTGAAGGTCCCCCAGGGTGAGGCCTAGTTTGCAGATACAATTGCCAACTATGCAGCAAAACGGTGACCCTACACAAACTTCTTAAAATTCAGGCCGGTTCACTTTGACCCAAACAAGATTAAGATGATAGATTATCACATCGCTTGCATAAAACAAGTGCTAAAAAATATTTCACAGCTAAACAATAGAGACTGTGCTGGGGTTTGGGAACCAGTTACCATAGCATTTAATAGATTTCATCCGTCTACTGTTTACCTTGCAAACAGGAAACAAAGCACCTGTCTGCAAGCTCCAACAGAATGGTGTTTGTAAATGCAGTGCACATTTCTGAGGTAGCAACAGAGAATCTCTCACCTTAAGACAGTGGTAACTGGAATCCGAAAAACCCCTTGCCCGAAGAAGCAGCTCAAAGTGTCCCAAAGAGCTTCCAATTCACATTTCTCCCCAAAAGGGGTGGAAATTCATTAAAGTGCATCTCCCTCACGCAAACCGAGTTCAGAAGTAAAGTCTCTCCATGGCCAGCATCCTGGGATACTTTTAGTTACAAGATGATCTCATCTTCATGCTTGTTCACTGAACACACACAGATACACAAAATCCCACAAAGGACCCCCCCCCCCATGGCACTTAAGGTCACAAAAACAGTATAATTTATAAAACACACAACCAGCATCCATTTCAGCCAGCTTTAAAAGACAGGCCCAAAAGCTCGTTTGACAGCAGAGCCGGATGTGAAAGTTTCCAGCCCGTGGGGCAGTGCTCTAGAAAGATTTAAAAGCATTTCATCCTTCTCACCCGTTCACACGCACACAGTCATTCCACTGTACTGACTGGCCAGAAGACAGAGACTGAGCCGCCTCAATTGCCTTAAAACATCACTCAAAGCTCACAAAATCGGTGTGTGAAACAGTCTTTCCCCTGCAATCGAGGGCTTTGCTTGATCAAAGATAAAAGGGCCACTTGAACACAGGGCCCACAGTGATATTCTCCAGCACAAGCTTCCGCAAGACGAAGGGCAGCTGTGCCTGAGCGCAGCATATCCAGGTACGACTCTTGTCAGGCTTTCGCAGGAGCATTTCTTTGCTTATCATGCCCTTTGATCTCTTCAGCAACCAGCTTCGCTGCTTGAAGCCACTTGGTCCACACTGGCCTCCATTTCCAAGGCACTGCTAAAGCGTGGCTAAAATCCGTAAGAAGGAAATCATCACCACGCAGCAGGACTGCCCCGCACCTAACATCAGGGCCGTAAAGGGGGCCATCTCCTTCCCAGCAGCTCTGTAAACACCAGCAATCGCAGCACCTGTAAAGGGGGGGGAGGGGAGAGAATATGGTATTCACAGCCCAGTTACTCTCTCCCATTGTCTTTCCGTTCCCACACAAGAGCAACAAAAAGAAAGCCTACGGATCAACTTCCACGGACATTTCTGATTATTTCAGCCACGAAACTGGCACACTGGATCAGACTGATGGTCTGTCTGGTTTAGCACTTTTGACAGCAGCTAACGAGAAGCGGATTGCCCAGGCTAGACCAAGCTTGTCAGATGTCAGAAGCTAATCAGGATCAGCCCTGGTTAGTACTTGGACGGGAGACCCACCAAGGAAGTCCAGCGTTGCTATGCAGAAGCAGGCAATCCCATTTCGTTCCCTGAAAACCCCATGGTCTTGGGGTCGCTAAAAGTCAGCTGTGATCTGTTGGCACTTTACACCACCTACAAGCAGCACAAGACTGCATTTGGTGCAAAAGGCAGCAGGACTGCTGTCAACAGCTGGCTGAGGGGAACATGCCTCGCCTGTTTTGAAACAGCTACATTGGCTGCCAGTTTGTTTTGAGCTCGGTTCATGATGTTGATTACTTTTAAAGCCTTTCATGCCCTGGAAGGTTGAAAGCACCATCTTCTCCAATGTACATCTGTGCCCCACCTACAGTCTTCGGGTCACCACCTCCTGTCTGTTTCTCCACTTAAGGTAGCTTGCCTACCTACTTGCAATCCACTGCGCCCTGCTGTAGCTCCCACCCCATGGAACAA